AGTAACAATTTGATTAAATCAGGCAAGTTTGTGTATGAAAGCGTGATTTTTTTCTTCATTTTTTCATATAAAATTCCATGTTGATCAAAATTTTTTATTAGTGAGTGACACTTGACCCCCTGTAGATCTGCAATGTCCTGCGACTGTTATATGGTGATATCTTTGACAGCCAAATGCCATCACTCATCCCTGGAATCAAAGCGGACTTCTTTGCATTTCTTTCAGAAAGGGTCGACAAGAAAAAAGCAATAAAACTGGCTGGATTTTGGTATTTTTTGCATAGATTAATCATTTTTCGAAATTTCTTTTTCTTGGTGATTATTAATTGGTTAACTGATTTTATATTTTTAAATGGGGGGTAGATGACTGGGTCTTTGCCCAATCAGTCTTCTGCCCTAGGTCAAAACGTTTGTTTGTGAGTGGGTTGCTCTTTGTAGCTCAAAATTAGCTTGGAAATTTTCCAAAATTCTTTGAAACTGGTTTAGACCCCTTTGAAATGGTTTCAAAATAGTTTAGAAACTGGCCAGGAGTTTAGAAAGTCAGCTCTAGGTGTACTTTGACAAAACTGCAACCCAGGTTGCAACCTCCTCAGTTGCAGGATTTCATATCAGTTGCAGACACCAACTTTACTCTAGTGGAACAGCAATCATTGCACAGCATCAACTCTTGTCAACAATTAATGCTCATATGGAAACAGCCAAGTCTGATCTGAGGGGAAGTGAGGGAAAATTTTTTGTCTGTCCACCTTATAAAAGCCTTCCAACTTGTTTTCACCTTACCTGTGGAGAAAATTCTACAGTTATGAGGCGTGTGAAAGCACTTGTTGACATGTTTGTGATGGGAAATTTTTATTAAATCTGATACATGTTATTATTATCATCAGATTTATTATTCATAAGGAACTATAATTGATAATTAGGAAAAATAATTTATTCTCATGAACTCCAGAGATCTGGTAGACACATTATTAAAAGTTTCATTTTTGCATGGCCTTGGTATCATTACTTGAGTGATGCAATTGTTTGTTTACATCAAATGTATTGAATAATAATCATGACCATCATGAATATTTGATGGATGGAGGCATTCACATAGAAAGAAAAGATTAAAAAAGATAAGTTTTTTATCCAACCAAGATATATAATTATTTATATTTAAAAAATAATTATTTTATTCCATTATCCCTAATAAACCATTTGTTTCTTTAGCATTAGTGACCAAATCAATTACACAAGTGGTAGTCAATTTAAATGGTATTTTTTTAAAGTCTTTTTTGAATTAATATTATTCGATAATTATCTTTTATTATTTTTTCCAATCTTTTAGAATTATTTTCTTTTTATTCATTTGTGTAAGCATTCAAATAATTAATTCACAGATTAACAAACAGGTAATTTAATTGTTATAATTATAAAAAGTTATCTTTGTTTTAATTTTGATTCTTTAAATGATAAGATTACAATTCTTAAAAATACAAATATATATCATATGGTAATAAATAAATAAATTAATACACAATCTCTATATTGTATGGGAGCTTATAGACTTCTCAGAAAGTACAATTGTAATTTAAGATAACTTCCTTAGATGTAATATAAAGATAATAAATAATATGGGGCATGCTGCAACAAAACCAGACAAAGTGAACATTGTTGTTACCAAAATTTCAGGGATCAATAGTGTTTGCTTAACATCACAATATAATGTAATCATGATATTTGTCTAGATAAAAATAGTTAATATGAAGCTAATTTACTATGAGATGATAATTAGGTAATTACCATCCCAAGTTATAAAATTTACATCAGATCCACCATGCAAGTTAAAAAAAACAATACTGTAAAATCTTGAATTACTATTAATTAGTATTTAATCATCATAAAATAGCTCTAGAATTTTGTAAACAAAGTTTAGAAATTAATGTCATTAAATAGAGAAACCAGAGGATCATAAAGGTTAAGTTTTATGAAAATATTATATTAATATTAATCCAGCTTTAAGTTTTCTATGTTCAATTTTCTAAAAAAAATTACATCTAAAAATTATTAAATTCTGCAGCATTTGGCTTTCCTAGATCTGTTTCAGCTTATCTAATTCAGCCACAGCCTTCCTAATATCCAATTCTGCTATATAAGATCTTGATCTTTCTAGCCTCAATTTCGGCCTTTTCAGCTTCTGCCACAGCCTTCCTAATATCTAACTCTTTAAGAGTTAAGCCTTTTGCATCAGTTCTAAACTTTGCATAGCCTCTTTTCATGGTTTGAAGTGCTACTTCTACAGCAATTTTCCCTCACTCTTTTTGAAATTTATCAATTTCCTTCTTGTCAAATATAGGATTTCCGTGGGCATCTCTTGAATTTTTGATTAAATCGCGAACATGTTTTTGATAATTATTCAAATGCAACATGATAGCCACATGTTTCGAACCTGCTGATTTCACAAGTTTATCCTCGTAAACACTAATTTTACAAATTTTTTCTAAATCGACTCCCTTTTCATCTAGCACTTCACAATATGCACTAAAATTAATAGCATCATCTTTGTTGTAAACTTGTCAAAAGAATTCAGGGATTTGGCCATTAGCCCAAGTTAAGAGTTTTTCTTCAGCAAGAAAGGGAGCTTCAAGAATACTTAACTTTCCCCCATCCGTAACATAACTCTTTGTAATAATACTGGCATCTGCTCCTCGCCAATACACTTTAAAAGGAGTATCAATACTCTTATCCGTATCATTAAACTGCAAACAACTCTTTTCACCTTTTTTTAAGAAAGGACTATTTTTTCATTCACTAGGTTTATTTTTAGGAAAGAGAGCATGCATGATACAAAAGACATCACTTATACGAAATATTTCTTTTTTTACTTCTTCTACTTTTTCACTTTTAATTAAATTCATCACATGTGAAAAACCTCAACTAACCGCATCATCAGACACAAAGTGACCCATTCTATTCTGCAATCCACCATTTGAAAAAGTAATATCTTTTCGTTCTACAAACCGATTAAAAGCATCTTTAAACTCTTTCTTCTTGATCTTTCTAGCCTCAATTTCGGCCTTTTCAGCTTCTGCCACAGCCTTCCTAATATCTAATTCTGCCAAGACTTTTGCTCTTCTTAAAGACTAGTGCCGTAAATTATGATGATGGTAGTAATTGTATTTACGGCATATAAAAAGTGGTTGCAATTACCTTTGCGACCATTTTTGCAACCATACTTTTTCCTTTTTTGGATTACAGCACTAGTCTTTAGCTCTTCTGGCCTCAATTTCAGCCTTTTCGGCATCTGCCTCAAATTTTCTTACTTTAGCTAATTTTAACCTTTTAGATAGATTTTCTTTATCATCATCTTTATTTGTGTTATTGTGACTTGGTGGTAATGAAGGAGACAAAGATGATGATGAAGGTGATGATGATGAAGGTGATGATGCTAGTTTAAAATAAAAAATTAACAATTATTTTTTAATCTGATGACCTGCATATTATGTTAGATTTTTCTACTAACCCTGTGATAAGGATTCATAAAACATAATTGCCTTGGGGTCAGCTACAACCTTATCTTTACTAAAGTTTAACACTTGTAAAGACCCCAAAGACATTGCTCTGGATAAAGCTACATACACATGTCCTATTTTGTAATATATGACAATTTTATATTAATAATAATTAAAAAAATTCTTAACAAAAATAACAAATAAATACAACCACTAGCAAAAACATTATTCAAATCAACTTTAAGCCGTTCCACAGTTTGGGCTTGGCTTTTGTGGATTGTTATTGCCCATGCAGGCAAAAGAGGGATCTATTATTCAATTAAATGTTAGCAATAATGTTCAATAAAGTATATGTAATTAATATATATATATATATACTTGTTTTCGACTTGCCAATAATACATCATCAGTTTCAATAGTCTCAATCAGATTCCACTCAGCTACACCAATGGTTTCCTCTCGGTTTTTAGTAAACTTAACAATTGGTAATAAATCCTCTTGGTCAAACTCTATGTGTTCATCTTCACCATTATAATATTTTTTTTTGGTGGTTTTTAAATAAAAACCAACAATGACACCTCTGCTCCCATTGACCAGATCTTTTCTGATATTTTTAATGAGCATTACTTGTGATCCACGTTTTAATTCCAATTCATGTAATGCTAAGCAATTATGCACCAGTTTCTGTATTTGACCATATCTTGGAGGATCATAATCAATGGAATAATATGTATATTTTTTCGTTTTTAACTTTTCTAAATGGTAACTATTTACTTCATTTACTTTGGAATTTGTTGGATATCTATAAATATAATATTATTATATTATTATCATAATATATATGTAAAATTTTCAATGTATGTATATACTATAATATAGTTTCAACCTACAATTCAGTAACTAGAATTCCATCATCAGGATATTTTGGTGGATTTATCAATTTATTCATAATATCTGTTGTCTTCTGAGATACAAAACCCACTCTAATCTCATTTAACATTTCTATAAAGACTAAAAGAAAAGAAATTTAATTAGGTAGTTACTTATTAAATATATGTATGATGCAGATAAATTTATTGCCAATAGCTATTTTACCAGATTCTTGTTGTCTAAATACAGTTGACAATTGTAGCTTTACATTAATACATCGGTTCCATGAAGCTGCCTCAAAACAAAATTTGTAATTACCGCCATTAGAAGGAACAGGTGGTAGTTGCAAAAAATCACCCGAAAGAACAAGCTAAAATAGATGTTTGTTAAATTGATTTTTTTTATATTAAAATTAAAACCAAAAAAAGGTTTCATACTAAAATATTTCCAAATGGATCATTATTTTTGCGAACAGATCTTGATATTGCTTCCAATTTGTCAAATAATTCACCATCGAGCATGGATACTATTTATGAAATCCATTACACATTAACTTGTGCCAATAAATAAATACATGCACATATATAAATATATTAACTCATGTTCATCAATTATCAAAGCCTTAACGGATTTCCATCTAATAAAACTATTTTTTGAATAGTTTATTTTTTGAATAAGCTTTTCCACAGGATCAGTTCCCAAACCCACACCAGTAAAAGAATGTAGCGTGATTCCATTTATATTAAGAGCTGCTATTCTGGTTGTAGCTGTGACAGCTACTTTTTCATCACCATAAATACTTTTCAAAGATGAGACTATTTTTGATAATAAAAAGCTCTTGCCAATCCCTAATACAATAATAAATATCATCATATCTTATAAACTAATGATAATAACAAATGGTAATGATAATAAATAAAAATATTGATAGAAATCACTTACCACCTGCTCCTGTGAAAAAGGTATTTTTTTTTTTATTAATAATATTGTCAAAGATCGCCTCTTGTTCTTCTGTTAATTCCAATGAATCATCATTTGTTTTCCTAAGCAAGCAAAGAAAATCAAAATTTTTAATTTAGCAACTAGAATGATGACAAGTGGCGATAACCACCATTCTTTTGATAAACACTTACCCAGCGACTCCAGAATCATTTGATTTTCTTTTTCTATCTTTTTTATTAGTGACTGCTGACATTTTTTTTTTTATTTTTAATATTAATTAAAAAAAGAAAATATATACATAAAAATAAATTATTATCGACACTTGGTGTTGCACAAATTTTGTTTACACGATTGTTTTTTTTTGGGAAAACAATTTATTTTTTGACAGAGTCCAAGGTGACAAAACGTGAGAGTTGTTGTTTGGTTTGGTTTGAGTCCCCTAAAGAAACGTGTTAATAACTAACCAGAGGTACTATTTTTGTTTGTGTTGATATAATGTGTCTTTTATTTTATATAAATATTTTAACTGGAATCAAAACGCGGAGCAGAACATTGCTGAGTAATTATAAGATTTTCATTGATAATATTTTACTTTTCATAATATTTATTAATATTATATTATTATAATTACAAGATGTCAAGGCAGCACACCATTGAATAAGAGACATTTCGAGTATGCGACGTTTGATTATCAGAAATTTTACAGATGTTGAAGCATGCACACTGCCTTGAACACTTACAGTCATTCTTACGTATTCCTCATGTACATAAGGCTAATCTGACCAAGATTTCCATGATAATATGATGATGCTGCAGAATTCCAGGGGGGGTGCATGGCCCTGAAGTTTATCATGATTGCATCAATCATCAAAGACACTTTCACTAATCTTCCCAGACCAGAGAAGGCTGCTGTCATGTTGGCTGAAAAGTTGCCTGCAACGATCCTACTTTTAGGGAAGGATGGCTTTGTGACAAAGATGTTCCAATTCTGGAAGAATATCAAGGGAATCTGCAACTCGTTCCAAGCACAGAAGGTTGCAATTCAGAGCAGGATTGGTGGCCCTGAAATTGCATTTGGACTCTGATGTTAAGAGGAAAATTATAAAATAGTGTTTGTTTGTATAATCATTTTCATAAATTTTCTGTTTCTCTTTGATTTTTGTTGACCAACTGAACTTGTTATTTAAATAAATGGGGTAGGGTTGTTGGTGAGTAGGCGTGCCACTGACCAGACAGCAACCCAGGACTCAAAACTCTGAATTCAGGGGAAATCCAAAACAAAAATCCAGGTTGCAACCTCCTGAGTTGAAGGATTTTGAACAAGTCTTAACACTGACTTTATTCTAGAAGGGTATAACACAATACAATCATCATACAAGCACCAGCTATCAGTGATCAATGCTCATATGGAAACAGCCAAGCCTGGTCCAAGGGGAAGATAAGAGGAGTTTTGTCCAAAGCCTTCCAACATGTGGGTGGCCTTCACTTGTGGAAGAAATTTCACAATTATGAGGGTGTGTGAAAGCACTAACTTGTATGTTTGTGATAGGAAATTTTAACTAAATCTGACACCTGTGATCAATATCATCAGATTTATTATTCATAAGGAACCACAATTGATAATCAGGAAAAATAATTTATTTTGTGAACACCAGAGATCTGGGTAGACATGCATTATTATAAGTTTCATTTATGCATGACCTTGGTGTTATTTATTACTTGGGTGATGCAATTGTTTGTTATTCCAATGATTATATCAAATGTATTGAATAATCATTGTGATGGATGTAAGGACAAAGGAATTCACATATGATGAAAGGATTAAATAAGCTAAGTCATGTTTATTTTTTATCTATATAATTAATTATATTTAAAAATTATTATTTTATTTCATCTTTGTAATGGCATTTATTTCAATAATTCTGAAATTGTTTGTTTCTTAGTGTTAATGATTGAATCAATCACACAAGTGATTGTCAGTTTAGATGGCTTTTTTTAAAAAAGGTTTAGTTGAATTAATGTTGTTAAATGGTTTTTTTATTTATAATAATAATTTTAATATTTTTTTTGATACATCAACCTCTATCAGTATTTATAGATTTTAAAATTTCTTTTTTGATTAAAAAAAAAAATTTCAAACATTTGTTTATTTGTTTTAGTACATTTCAATTAGATTTTATTAGATCAAACAATACATTCAGCAAAAATCTCAGAAGACTACATTGTGTATTAATTCTAAGATAAAAAAATCTGTTTTAATGTTTTAGTATAATCAACAATTTTCTTCAATTGTTTTTTTTAGAAATAACAATAATTATCTTTTATTTATTTGTTTATCTGTTTTAGTTGTTCAATAAATCTCAGGTCTCAAGATAATTTATCTTATCCATTTTTAGTAATAATAAATAATTTAAATCTAATGTAATTATTTTTCATGGAACCAGTCGAGGATTTTTATTTTCTCTTTTATATCAATTATTGAATATATATTTGAAAATATTTCTGATATTTATTTGCAGGTCCACTCAAATTTAAATTCTTTTCTGCCCATTTTGCTTGTCACCACAAGACCAATTTCAATTTTAAAATAAATGAAAACCTACAAAGTGAACATAAAATTATATATATAGGGATAAGTGTGTATGAAAAGTAATAATAAGTACAATGGTTCTAATGAGTATGAAAAAGCTATTGATTTTTTGAAAAAGGGTTGTGATTGTGGTTGCTCTTTAAGAATTCCCAAGGAACAATTTGCAGAATTAAGGGAATCCTTTCAAGCTCTTTCCAAATCTGAACAAGACATATTTTTGATGGCACAAATTAAAGCAATGGATGGTGGATTAACAAGCACTAGTAGACGCCTTAAAAAGAAAACTAGATCTAATAAAAGAACTTTCTATCACTGAGATCACAATACACTTCTTTGTCAAGAAACTTATCTCAATATGCTAGGGATTGGTAGAACTCACTTTGAAAATATTAGAAATCACTTGATAAACAATGGTCTTCTGCCAAGAATTCATGGTAATATTAAAAGAATGCCTCAATGGAAAGCTAAAATGGTGATTGACAAAAGTGTTGCTGAAGTAGTAAAGAATTTTCTAGAAAATTATGCAGAAGTTCATGGACTACCAAGCCCAGGAAGAAGCATCAATAGAATAACTCAATCAATTGTATTCTTACCAGCTGAAATGAGTTATAAATCTGTACACAGAGATTTTCTAGCTGGTCTAGAAGAAGGTAGTAATTTGAAATCTTTGAAGTATGATGCTTTCAGAAAATTGTGACACCAACTGACACCAGATATTCAAATTATGAAACCCAGGACTGACTTGTGTGATACTTGTCAACATTTGAGAGATGGTTTACATTATAATGCTCACCAAGAGGAAGAAGCCAAAGAATTACTTAAAAGATTTAAAGAACATTTGTCTAAGGCTAAACTAGAAAGAAATTATCATAATAAAAACACTAAATTAGCAGAAAAACAAAGAAAGCTAGTTGATCAACATTATTCCAAGGGTAAAGCACAGTACTGTAGCATTGATGCTACTGCTCATTACAGTTATGATTGAGCCCAAAATGTTCATGTGCCACATTTAGATCAACAAGTAAGTAAAATTTATTGTCTTAGTCCATGTAAAGTTCATTTATTTGGTATTCAAGATGAGGCAGTAAGAGAACAAATTAATTATGTTCTTAATGAAAATGAAATCATAGGAAAAGGACCCAATGGCACTCCTAGTATGATTTTTGATGGAATTAAGAAAATGAATAAAGGTGAAAAGCATTTAAAGATTACTTGTGATAATGCTGGTGGGCAAAATAAAAATAATACTACTATTTGATTTTATTTATATTTGGTAATTTGTGGCTATTATGAAAGTATTGAATTGAATTTCATGATTCCTGGACATACCAAATTCAAATGTGATGGTAGCTTTGGTTTAATAAAAAAACTCTACAGAAAAACTAGAGTAGATTGTCTGGATCATGTGGTTGATGTAGTAAAAAGATCTAGTCCAGTTGGATTAAATAAAGCTCAATGTTATGAAGGTGGAAAAGGTTTTCAATACTTAGATATTAAAGCTATTTTAGAAATATATTTTAAGAAATTACCAAGTATACAAAAATATCAACATTTTCTTTTTGAAGAATCTAACTTTGGTACAGTAAAAGTTCAAGAAGTTGCTAATGGACCTTTTACTGAATTCAGTTTAATGAAAACCAAGAAAGTAGATATTTTGGAAGAAATTAGAGCTTTATCCATTTTAGTATTAACACCACCACCTTTGGATTACAAAAGGCAAGAATATCTTTATCATAATATTCACCCATTTGTGAAAGATGAATACAAATATATTACTTGCCCAAGACCAATCTATACTGAAAATGAATAAAATATTTAGAATAAAATCACCTCCAGTATTTCATTTGTTATTACTGTCATTAAGTTTAATAAGTTTAATCTTTCAATAAATATTGCTAGCTTT